TGATATTTTAGTTCCACACTAGTAAACACAGACGTCTCATGTGTGACCAACATCACACAAATGTTCATGGGCCTGTACACATACACACATTATATTGTGGATATAATGATCATGTGATATGGGCTGGACTCCTCATAAACTGTTTCTGTGGTGATGAACTGACCCACCGACGCCTCATGGGACCAGGTTGATGTCTCTGACTGATTATTATTATTATTATTTTTACAATTCTTGCAATTCACTGAACGCAGCACACCTGCCCTCAGTCTGCTCCACTGCACCTGATGTTAATGTCAGAGTGTCCAGAGCAGACGCAGTGACGTCGCAGCATTACCTGCAGTGATGATGTCACATGTGTCCACAGACTCGGTGCGTCTGGACTCAGGGCCCAGTCTGTGCTCAGGATCAGTGCAGATCTGGGACCAGTCCTGGACCAGTGTCTGTGAAGGGGCCTTGGACCTGCAGAGTGCAGAGGTGCTGTGCAGGGAGCTGGACTGTGGGGCTCCTTCTCTCCTCCAGGGGGCGCTCTCTCCTCTGGGGCAGATGTTCCACTGTGAGGGTCATGAGTCTGCTCTGATGGACTGTCCCCGCTCCCACTCAAGGACCTGCTCCTCTGGAGCCACTGTCAACCTCACCTGCTCAGGTAAAGGGGCGGGGCTTCAGTGCTCAGGTAAAGGGGCGGGGCTTCAGTGCTCAGGTAAAGGGGCGGGGCTAACTCTGTCTCTTGTGTGTTCAGAGCCGCTCAGGCTGGTGGGAGGAGCCAGTCGCTGTGCTGGGACTGTGGAGGTGAAACACAGAGGAGAGTGGAGACGAGTGTTTAATGAAGGTGATATTTGGAGCCTCTGGGGCCCTCAGGCCACAGCTGCTGTGTGCAGAGACCTGGACTGTGGCTCTGCTGTTTCTGGAGACATAAGAGACGGTTTTCCACAGAGTCTTGTGTGGAACATCATAACTGACTGTGTGAAGACGTCTGCAGTGAGAGAGTGTGTCTTAGGTCTCTGGAATTTTATGGATGTCGATGCTATAAACCGCAGCTCCTCAGACTCAGGCCTGGAGGTTGTGTGTTCAGGTAACAGTCTCAGATTCTCTGCTTCATCCTCACCTTTCAGATGTTTTCTCAGAGTTTGTTCCTCTCAGATGTTTTAGATGTTCCTCTCAGATGTTTTAGATGTTCCTCTCAGTTGTTCCTCTCAGAGGATTATTTGTAGTTGCCTCAGAAGACTGTAGCAGATATGACGTCCAGTCTCCTCTCTTGACAGATTTACTGTATCGTCCAAACATCTCCCTGTCTGTGTCTGACGGGGAATCTGAGCTCCAGCAGCAGGGGGTCCGGGTGCTGCTGGGGTCAAAGTTCGAGGTCAAATGCTCTGTGGAGCCACAGTACCCTGGAGGATCCTTCCAGCTCCTCTCTCCCACTGCGCCCCTCGCTCAGAACCACACCCTGCCCGCTGTCAATCACTCCGCATACTTCCTGTTCTCTGACACTGGCCCCGCCCACAAAGGAAACTACACCTGTGTTTACCACCTGCAGGTGTTCAACCACAGCTTCTCCTCTCAGAGCCCCACCCTCCAGCTCTCTCTGGGAGGTAAGTACAGAAACACTCTTACTCGCACACAAGAAGCCGCACACGAGCGTCTCTGGACAAGTGGTGCTACGAAGCAGCTTCACAGCTCATGCTCACTTCTGACCAATCAGAGCGCTGCTGCTGGAGCGGAGCTGGTGCAGGCTCAGGGCGAGGAGACGTCTTTCAAATCTGTCAGGAGCTTTGAGGATGTCAATCATGTCAATGTTGGAAAAATAGAGAAGAATCTCGACTAAATGTGACGTGTGGATTCGGGTTTAATATTTTTCCCAAAAATGACTTGAATCATATTTCTGGGACAAGACGACTGTGGTTGTTTTTGTTCATTTTGTGGAGCCCAATTAGGCCTTATGTTCTGTAAGTCACAGCAGCCAAAAACTGTGTAATGAAGAAGAAAAAATACATTCATCTAGAACTATAACATATACAAGTCGCACTTTTGGGGGAAATGTATTTTATAAAATCAGAGACCAGGAGCCGACATTTCCTGTGTAAAGTGAAGTTGTAGTAAAAACAATAGAAGAGAAAACAACAGACTGTGAACGTCACATGTGAACAGTAAAATGGGACAGTGCACATGGATCAACATGTGTTAGTGCAGCTGGAAATGTGCCAGAGTTTTGTCGTGTTCGATCATTTTCACCTGTCGTTTCATTGGCAGATTGACGACAAAAAACACGACATAAACACAAAAACATTCATCACACACACACACACACACACACACACACACACACATTAAACACACACACACATTAACACACACACACACACACACACACACACACATTAAACACACACACACACACACACACACATTAAACACACACACACACATTAAACACACACACACACACACACACACACATTAAACACACACACACACATTAAACACACACACACACACACACACACACACACACACACACACACACACACACACACACACATTAAACACACACACACACATTAAACACACACACACACACACACACACACACACATTAAACACACACACACACACACACACACAACACACACACACAAAACACACACATAAACACACACACACACACACACACATTAAACACACACACACACATTAAACACACACACACACACACACACACATTAAACACACACACACACATTCACACAACACACACACACACACACACACATTAAACACACACACACACTAAACACACACACACACACACACACACACATAAACACACACACACACACACACATATTAAACACACACACACACACACACACACACATTAAACACACACACACACATTAAACACACACACACACACACACACACACATTAAACACACACACACACACACACACACACACAAACACACACACACATTAAACACACACACACACACACACACACACACATTAAACACACACACACACACATTAAACACACACACACACACACACACACACATTAAACACACACACACACACACACAATTAAACACACACACACACACATTAAACACACACACACATTACACACACACACCACACACACACACACACATTAAACACACACACACACATTAAACACACACACACATTAAACACACACACACACACACACACACATATTAAACACACACACACACACACACACATTAAACACACACACACACACATTAAACATTAAACACACACACACACACATTAACATTAAACACACACACACACACAACACACACACACACATTAAACACACACACATTAAACACACACACACACACACACACACACACATTAAACACACACACACACACATTAAACACACACACACACACATTAAACACACACACACATTAAACACACACACACACATTAACACACACAACACATTAAACACACACACACACATTAAAACACACACACACACACATTAACACAACACACACATTAAACACACACACACACACACACACATTTAAACACCACACACATTAAACACACACACACACACATTAAACACACACACACACACACACACACACACACACACACACACACACACACAACACACACACACACAACACATTAAACACACACACACATTAAACACACACACACATAAAAACACACACACACACACACACACACACACACACACACATAAACACACACACACATTAAACACACACACACATTAAACACACACACACACACACATTAAACACACACACACACACACACATTAAACACACACACACACATTAAACACAAATTTAAACACACACACACACATTAAACACACACACATTAAACACACACACACACACACACACACATTAAACACACACACATTAAACACACACACACACATTAAACACACACACACACACATTAAACACACACACATTAAACACACACAAAGTGTGAAATATTGTTTCAGGTTTTTGTGATTTCTTCTTCTGCAGCTCGAAACTCAGATCTTCTCATCAGAGTCTTGGTCCTTCTACTGTTGAAGCTCATGTACATCCCCCTGTACTACTACTGCAAGTACTACTACTGTAAGTACTACTACTGTAAGTACTACTACTGCAAGTACTACTACTGCAATACTACTACTGCAAGTACTACTACTGTAAGTACTACTACTGTAAGTACTACTACTGTACTACTACTGCAAGTACTACTAAGTACTACTACTGCAAGTACTACTACTGTAAGTACTACTACTGTAAGTACTACTACTGCAAGTACTACTACTGTAATACTACTACTACTGTAAGTACTACTACTGTACTACTACTGTAATACTACTACTGTACTACTGTAAGTACTACTACTGTAAGTACTACTACTGCAAGTACTACTACTGCAAGTACTACTACTGTAAGTACTACTACTGTAGTACTACTACTGTAATACTACTGTACTACTACTGCAATACTACTACTGTAATACTACTACTGTACTGTAAGTACTACTACTGTAATACTACTGCTACTACTGCAATACTACTACTGTAATACTACTACTGTAAGTACTACTACTGTAAAGTACTACTAACTGTAAGTACTACTACTGCAAGTACTACTACTGTAGTACAAGTACTACTACTACTACTACTGTACTAAGTACTACTACTGCACTAACTACTACTACTACTACTGTAATGCTACTACTGCAATACTACTACTGTAATACTACTACTGTAAGTACTACTACTACTGCAAGTACTACTACTGTAAGTACTGTAAGTACTACTACTGGTATACTACTGTACTACTACTGCAATACTACTACTGCAAGTACTACTACTGTACTACTACTGTACTACTACTGCAAGTACTACTACTGCAAGTACTACTACTGCAAGTACTACTACGTACTACTACTGCAGTACTACTACTGTAAGTACTACTACTGCTACTACTAGTACTACTACTGCAAGTACTACTACTGCAAGTACTACTACTACTACTAAGTACTACTACTGCAAGTACTACTACTGCAAGTACTACTACTACTATGTACTACTACTGTAAGTACTACTACTGCAAGTACTACTACTGTAAGTACTACTACTGTAAGTACTACTACTGCAAGTACTACTACTACTACTGTAAGTACTACTACTGCAAGTACTACTACTGTAAGTACTACTACTGTAAGTACTACTACTGCAAGTACTACTACTGTAAGTACTACTACTGCAAGTACTACTACTGTAAGTACTACTACTGCAAGTACTACTACTGTAAGTACTACTACTGCAAGTACTACTACTGCAAGTACTACTACTGTAAGTACTACTACTGTAAGTACTACTACTGCTACTACTGCAAGTACTACTACTGTAAGTACTACTACTGNCCTGGTTTAGTCCTTGGTGGTTTCTGGTTCCTTGGTTAGTCCTGTTTAGTCCTGGTTTAGTCCTGGTTTAGACCTGGTTTAGTCCTGGTTTAGTCCTGGTTTAGACCTGTTTAGACCTGGTTTAGTCCTGGTTTAGTCCTGGTTTAGTCCTGGTTTAGGACCTGGTTAGTCCTGGTTTAGACCTGGTTTAGTCCTGGTTTAGACCTGGTTAGTCCTGGTTTAGACCTGGTTTAGACCTGGTTTTGGTTTTAGTCCTGGTTTAGTCCTGGTTAGACCTGTTTAGACCTGGTTAGTCCTGGTTTCCTGGTTTAGTCCTGGTTTAGTCCTGGTTTAGTCCTGGTTTAGTCCTTTTAGTCCTGGTTTAGACCTGGTTTAGTCCTGGTTTAGTCCTGGTTCCTGGTTTAGACCAGTGGTTCAGTTCCTGGTTTAGACCTGGTTTAGTCCTGGTTTAGTTCCTGGTTTAGACCTGGTTTAGTCCTGGTTTAGACCTGGTTCAGTCCTGGTTTAGTGGTTTATACCTGGTTTAGTCCTGGTTTAGACCTGGTTTAGACCTGGTTTCAGTCTGGTTTAGTCCTGGTTTAGTCCTGGTTTAGTCCTGGTTTAGTCCTGGTTTACCTGCGTTCAGACCTGGTTTAGTTTAGTCCTGGTTTAGACCTGGTTCAGACCTGGTTTAGACCTGGTTTAGTCCTGGTTCAGTCCTGGTTTAGACCTAGGTTCCTGGTTCAGTTTAGACCTGGTTTAGACCTGGTTAGACCTGGTTTAGTCCTGGTTTAGTCCTGGTTTAGTCCTGGTTTCAGTCCTGGTTTCAGACCTGGTTTAGACCTGGTTTAGTCCTGGTTTAGACCTGGTTTAGACTGGTTCTGGTTTCAGACCTGGTTTACCTGGTTTTACCTGGTTTAGTCCTGGTTAGACCTGGTTTAGTCCTGGTTCTGGTTTAGTCCTGGTTTAGTCCTGGTTTAGTCCTGGTTCAGACCTGGTTTAGTCCTGGTTCAGACCTGGTTTAGTCCTGGTTCAGACCTGGTTTAGTCCTGGTTAGTCCTGGAGTCCTGGTTTAGTCCTGGTTTTAGTCCTGGTTTAGTCCTGGTTTAGTCCTGGTTTAGACCTGGTTTAGTCCTGGTTTTAGTCCTGGTTTAGACCTGGTTTAGTCCTGGTTAGACCTGGTTAGACCTGGTTTTTAGTCCTGTTTAGTCCTGGTTTAGTCCTGGTTCAGACCTGGTTTAGTCCTGGTTAGAGTCCTGGTTTAGTCCTGGTTTAGTCCTGGTTTAGTCCTGGTTTAGTCCTGGTTTTAGTCCTGGTTCAGTCCTGGTTTAGTCCTGGTTTAGTCCTGTTCAGTCCTGGTTTCAGACCTGGTTCAGACCTGGTGACCTGGTTCAGACCTGGTTTAGTCCTGGTTTAGACCTGGTTTAGACCTGGTTACCTTTCAGACCTGGTTCAGACCTGGTTCCTGTTTAGTCCTGGTTTCAGACCTGGTTAGTCCTTTAGGTTCAGTCCTGGTTTAGTCCTGGGTTCCTGGTTTCAGACCTGGTTAGACCTGGTTAGACCTGGTTTACCTGGTTCCTGGTTCAGTCCTGGTTTGTCCTGGTTCAGACCTGGTTAGACCTGGTTCAGACCTGGTCTTGGTTTAGTCCTGGTTTAGACCTGGTTTCAGTCCTGGGAGTCCTGGTTTCAGACCTGGTTCAGACCTGGTTTAGTCCTGGTTCAGGACCTGGTTCAGACCTGGTTCAGACCTGGTTCAGACCTGGTTTAGTCCTGGTTCAGACCTGGTTTAGACCTGGTTCAGTCCTGGTTTAGTTCCTGGTTTAGTCCTGGGTTCCTGGTTTAGTCCTGGTTCAGACCTGGTTCAGACCTGGTTTAGTCCTGGTTCAGACCTGGTTCAGACCTGGTTCAGTCCTGGTTTAGTCCTGGTTTAGTCCTGGTTCAGACCTGGTTTAGACCTGGTTCAGACCTGGTTTCAGACCTGGTTCAGACCTGGTTTAGTCCTGCGTTCAGACCTGGTTCAGAGTCCTGGTTTCAGACCTGGTTCAGACCTGGTTTAGTCCTAGTTTAGTGTTGGTTTAGTCCTGGTTCAGACCTGGTTTAGACCTGGTTCAGACCTGGTTTAGTCCTGGTTTAGTCCTGGTTCAGACCTGGTTTAGTCCTGGTTCAGACCTGTTCAGACCTGGTTCAGACCTGGTTCAGACCTGGTTTTTAGACCTGGTTCAGACCTGGTTCAGACCTGGTTCAGACCTAGTCCTGGTTTAGTCCTGTTTAGACCTGGTTTAGACCTGGTTCCTGGTTAGACCTGGTTCAGACCTGGTTCAGACCTGGTTTAGTCCTTGGTTTCAGACCTGGTTTCAGACCTGGTTCAGACCTGGTTTAGTCCTAGTTTCAGTGTTGGTTTAGTCCTGGTTCAGACCTGGTTTAGACCTGGTTCAGACCTGGTTAGTCCTGGTTTAGTCCTGGTTCAGACCTGTTCAGTGGTTTTCAGACCTGGTTCAGACCTGGTTCAGACCTGGTTTAGACCTGTTTAGGACCTGGTTCAGACCTGGTTCTGGTTTAGACCTGGTTTCAGACCTGGTTCAGACCTGGTTCAGACCTGGTTCAGACCTGGTTTAGTCCTGGTTCAGACCTGGTTTAGACCTGGTTCAGACCTGGTTCAGACCTGGTTCAGACCTGGTTCAGACTGTCTGTGATGTGGTGTGTTGTGTTGTTTCAGGTCAGAGCCATCAGGGGGCGCTGGAGTGAGGCTGTGAGTGGATCTGGATTCAGACCTGTTCAGATCCGTGGACTTTGGGTCGGGTTCGTCCGTGTAAATATAAGAATGAGTTGAATCGTGTTTCTGTTCTGTTGATACTTTGCGGCCGACGTCTTGGACTTTCCCTGGAGGTGTGAAGCTAACTGGAGGCACTGCTCCGTCTGAAACTCTGTTAGATTTGAACATGAACATGAATTTAATGTGAATATCTGTGTCCATGTATTTTCTCTTGTGGGTCAATAAAGGTTTTTGGTTTTTTTTTAACAGCGTTTGCGAATGTGTGCATTGTGTTTCCACGGTAACTGCTGAACATTCTACCATAGAGATACATGTAGAACACTGCCAGCGTGGCGTCACTTCGATGTATCTATAGAATGTACCTCCACGAAGTTGGCCCCCCACTAAACGCACATCTACACAAAAACTGTCAATCGTTTGTGCTGCAAGAAGTTTCATTTGTGCTGTTTTCGTTTTTGAGATATTAACGATTATTTTATAGATCAAATTGGGGTCATGGCAGCCCCCAGGAAGCTTCAAAAACCTCTAAAACTATGGAGTAAGAAAGCTTTCAGAAATATTCGCGCGCATAGAACAGAAATCCGTGCGTATTTGTCTGTAGTTGCGCATAAAATAAATATCTGGTAAACTCTCAAATGAGTCCAGTCGTACATAAAATATATTGTGTGTATTTTATCCATCAGAACACGAATTGAAAAGTTACGACGTCAAGAATTACAATCACGAAATGAAAATTTACGATTACGCTTTCGTCAGTACGAATACGAATTCACAGACGCGACTTTATTGTCAAAAATACGTCATCACTTCACAGACTTTATTTATGGAGAAGAAGAAACATCGATCAAGATCAAGACTGCGTGTTTAAGTTTGCAGCAGAGGGTAAAAACGGAGAAATGGCACAACAAGGAGCTACAACAGCGATCGACAAGTGGGTTCATTCAAATTTATTGTTAAAATGTCTTGTCTTGCCGCACTGAATTTGGGAACCGAACGCCGCTGTGTGATATCGTGTAGAAATCCCAATGTAGTCCGAAAAAATACGGTATTATTTTTGCGGAAATTATATGAACTCCGCAAAACTGGTGAAGAGAAACGGTCTGAGGCTGTGGAAAAGTCTGTATTATATAAAATATGAATCGAAAGCAAGTTCGTAAAGACTGATTCAGGCTTTTCCACGGCCTCAGATCGTTTAGCTTCACTCGTTTTGCGGAGGTTTACGAAAGCCGCCGCCGTCAGCTGTTTGGAAACGACTTCATATAATTTCCTCAAAATAATAATGAACAATTTCAGAAATATACTCGCACAAATGAAAATAGTCACAGCACAAACCAAATACAAATGTTCCGTATGATTTTCTGCCTGTTTTGATGATATTTATCCAAAATATCCCCAAATAAAACTGTGAATATCTTAAGAATCATAATCGCGCAAACGAAACTTTTTGCGGCACAAAACACCACAAACGATTGAGTCCATTTTGTGTCGTTTTAGAGCATTTTGAAGTTTCCCGTGGGCCGGCCGACCCCAATTTGACCTATAAAAGAATCGTTAATATCTGAAAAACGAAAACAGCACAAACGAAGCACAAATCACTGACATAGTTTCTCTGTAGATTTGCGTTTTGATGGGGCCCAACACTGTCTTTTTCCCTCAAGGTGAAGTTCAGGAACTGTTTTGTGCACTTTTCAGCTTCTTATATCACATGTGTTCTGCCTGGAATGTTCCACAGTGTGACATTAAACAGATTTACTTCACATTTTGTCAATTACAGGTGATTTTATAGCTCAAAAATACCTAGAAAATCAGACATTCAAAATAAACTCCTCGGTCTTTTCAGCAGGTCTCAAACTATAATTTTAATAAACCACACTTTCGCTTTTTAGTCCTGTTCAAAAATGTGGTGAAACAGAAAGTACAAATACCTGCTCTCAAACGCAGTAAAGTAAAAGTCAAAAGTACCCACTGCCTTCTTCAAACACAACACAAGGTGGCAGTGTTTACTTATAAAAAGCCACATGAAGCTGCCAGTGAAAAAGTTACAAGAAAAGCATCAATAAATCGCAAGTTTAATGTGTTTGTGAAGAATTATAGGACATCTGGTATGTGTGTATTGTATGTTTTAGTATTAGTAGTACTCTCAAATTTCAAAATAGAAGAATAAATGCATGAATTTTAGGTTATTAATACTTAAAGTTGAGCAGGATGCAGTGGTCCAGGTTGGTTCCACAGTGGCAGAAGCTTGACAGAGATGTTGATCATCAAAAAAGTTCACATGGATTTAACACCAAAATGTCCCTGGCGTCCATTACAGAGGACATGTTATAAAATTATAAATCAAAATAAAATAAACAAAATCTAAATGCTAAGGTGTGAAAAATCCCTCAATCGTCCAGGTAGAATCCATGGCAAAGGAAAAATTCAATAAAAAATAAAAAAAAAACAGAAACAGAAGAAGCAGCTTGGATGAGGTGCAAAACATATTCAACCAAATAAACTTTTGTCCAGTTGACAAATTGAATGTTTCCTTTGCCATAAATGCTAAGGTGTTCGTTTACCTCCAAATAAAGAGAAAATCACAAAAAAATATATTGCAATACACTTTTTCTCTTGTTTGGTTGTTAAAGTCACATGGATTTAACACCAAAATATCCCCGGCGTCCATTACAGAGGACATTAGACTTAGACTTAAACAAACTTTATTGATCCACAAGGGAAATTATTTGGACACAGCAGCTCACACATCACAATAAATATAATAACAACAAAGAACAAAAAAAATATATAAATTGTAAAATAATTCTAAATAAGTAGCAAAAAAGAGCAAGAGGCAGGTGTCAAATAAGACATAATTATATAAATGTAAATGTATCATGTTATAAAATTATAAATACAAATAAAATGAACAAAATCTAAGGAGTTCATTTACCTACAAATAGAGAGAAAATCACAAAAGATATAATTTTTATATAATAATAATAATAATAATAATAATAATACATTAAAAGGGAGCCTAAAAACTTTTTGAGGTGAGTGTAGAAGCTTGTCAAAGATGTTGGTCATCAAAAAAGTTGTTTTTGTTTGGTTGTTAACATCACATGGATTTAACACCAAAATGTCCCCGGCGTCCATTACAGAGGACATTAGACTTAGACTTAAACAAACTTTACTGATCCACAAGGGAAATTATTTGGACACAGCAGCTCAAACATCACAATAAATATAACAACAAAGAACAAAAAAATATATAAATTGTAAAATAATTCTAAATAAGTAGCAAAAAGATAGCAAATAAGACATATGAATGCAAATGTAACATGTTATAAAATTATAAATAAAAATAAAATGAACACAATTTAATTGCTAAAGTGAAAAAAAACAAAAAACAAAAACAAACGAACCAACTTTCCTTTTGAAATGCAACTCCCGGTGACTTCCGCTTGCGCTTTTACTGCGAAAAACCCGTCCGGAAGTCCTGTCCACGTGTTTGTGTTGACTCCCGTGCGCTCGACGCGTCCTCCCTCCGCTCATTCACTTCGGGCTCGGACTCCCAGCGGACCAAAAACACAAACCCCGGCGGGGACCGACCTACGCCACGGCGGCTCCTCTCCGCGCGAACACCGCCCCGTCCTCGGCCGCACGCTCGGACTGCGCACGCCGCCGCCGCCCTCCTCCTTCTCCGCGACGTTTGGATTCTACCTCCGGAGCTCGTTTCGGCTCGGATCGGGACGCGGAAAGGGCAGCGCGGAGAGCCACAGTCACAGGTCTCCGGGTTTCGCGTTTGCTGCTGTTAGCCATTAGCCTGTAGCCGCCGCCGGGACGCTGCGCCAAATTGGGCTAAACTTCTCTTTTTGCGCGCGTTGTTTTGCGTAAATCCCGTCACGATGCGGTGGTTTTTGCGGGGTTTAAACACGTGGCCAGGGATTAGCATAGGTTGACGCGCGTTTTATCCGAATTTTGCCTGGTGCGAGTGCGTTTTTTTTTTTTTTTTTTTTTTTTCTTTCCTCGTTTATCCATCGCTGATTTTGGCACCGTTTGGAGTGGACTTTAGCCCGGGGGTGGTGCGTTCGCTTTACCCCCCCCTCCCCGCTTTTCCGTGGCATAAAAAGCCCTCATTGATTCAAGGTTTGGGGCTGTTCACAAACTTTGGTTAAAGTTTTTTTTTGGGCTACTTTTTGGAGGTGTGTGTGTTTTTTTTTTTTTTTCTCCAACGCGGTGGAAAAATGGATGCGGGAATAGAGAAAGAATGCAGCGCCTTGGGAGGGCTCTTCCAACTCATCATGAACGATATGAAGGTAAGAAATTAGACTTACGTACTTAAATTTATTATTTTAGTCCCAAAAACACAACAATTTTAAACATATTTTAAGTTAAAAGCGTAATTGTGTAACTTTTTTAGTGGAAAGTCCATGAAATTCTTCTTTATCGAGATGTTATTTTATTGTTATTGTTTCTGGAATGTTTCGCAGTGTGGCTTTAAACCTGTCCATCTCCGTGGAAACCAAACCGGACCAAGTTACAGTTCGGTACGGGTCACTTCTGCGGAGAGGCGACCCCGTCCTAGGTTTTTTGAGCTCTAAAACTACTGGTAATTAAATAAACGTAAAGTTGGAGCTGTTTAATGTCGCACTACGGAACATTTCATGCCGAGAAATGACGTATCCATAGAAACAAGAACCGGGGAAGTAATGTTCTGTCTGAAAATGTGCACTTTCTTGTCATGTTTGGGGTGACCTTTATCCCACAGGCCTATGCAAACAAAACAAAAAAATCAATGATATGGACTAAATCAGGACTAACCCTTGGACCGAGAACTCAACAAAGTCTCATATTTTGACGAAACCGGTCGGGATGACGTAACCGTGTCCAAATTTCTCGGTACGATATTTTCACGATATGCATCTCGGCGGTATCCAAATTCTGATACCGTTAAACCTTCTCAGGATTTTACTGGGATATATATAATCGGGATGTAACAATAACCAAAATATCGTGATATCGTATCGTCAAAAGTTCTCACAATAATATCGTGGACCGTCACAATATATCGAATTACAAGTGTTATGGTGCAGCAATAGCTAGAATAACACAGAGGGAACTACATAGACCATGATCCTTTGCTCCATTTCAGTGCAAATGACAAGAAGAAATAACAGTTTACAGTCTTAGTTTTTTGGATTAAGTCTTGTCAAGGTGTTTTAAGAGGAAAAAGAAGTCGCGTATTAACAGTTTTCGCTGTTTAGCCTCCGCGAAATATCGCAATAAATACATCATGTACCGTGAGATGTGTATCGTGAAAATATACAGAGAGATTTGGGTATCGTTACATCTCTAATCATGAACTTTTCCGCGATGTCGCAATAAATATCGTACCGTGAGGATATTGTATCATGAGACTTTGATATCGTTGATATACAGTATTATCGTATTACCAAAATGATTTAGTACGACTTTGACGTATAATCTCTGAAAAGTTTAACATGAACCGTCTCCAACGCGACAGAAACACAGAACAGACTCACCATCAGCAGAACACCCCTCTGTCACAGAAAGAACACTCATATTCCGCTGAGTCGTGTCCTTTAGTCCGACAGAAGCTGAACCGTATCAGCGCACAAGGAGCGAGCTGTTTTTTCAGAGCTTATAGTTTATGCAAATGAGTCATGTGGTTTCAAGTTTTGTTTCTGTAAAACGTAAACAAATGTGTGTAAATGGTCCAGCGTCAAATCGTCGGGAGTCGAGAATGATGTAATGTTGTATGATGTTTACTAGGGGTGTAACGATATCCGAGTCTCACAATATGATATCGTCACAGTATGAATCTCACGATACGATATTTATTGCGATATCGTGGGAAAACTCACGATTAGGGATGTAACAATATCTAAATCTCTCTGTACGATATTTTCACGCTACACATCTCACGGTACGATATTTATTGCGATATTTTGTGGAGGCAAAACTGTTAATATGCAATTTTTTTTTTTTTCCTCTTAAAATGCCTTGACAAGACTTAACCCATAGAACTAAGACTTAAAAATGTTAGAACTGTTATTTCTTCTTGTCGTCTGCACTGAAATGGAGCAAAGGATCATGGTCTATGTAGTTCCCTCTGTGTTTTTTTTATCTATTGCTGCACCATAACTCTTCATTTAAGCAAAGAAACTTGTTGATCCGATATATTGTGATGGACCACGATATTATTGTGAGAACTTTGACGATACGATATCACGATATTTCGGTTATTGTCACATCCCTAATATTTGCAAATGTTCATGAGCACTAAAACTTGACTTGAAATTGAAATATCTCTCAGAAAAATTGATAAATATTTTCTTAAAATCATTCAGCCCTAAATTAAATAAATGTAAAGTAGAGCTGTTTAATGTCACACTGTGGAACATTCCAGGCAGAGCAATGACGTATCCGTAGAAACAAGACGGTGACAGACCCTCGAACAGAAAAGTTACACAATGCACCTTTACAGTGATAGTATTTGGAATCCATGGAATCACCGGCACGGTTCCACGGAAATGAAAGTGAAAGTATTTTTGTAAAACATAAAAAAAACATACGCCTGAAGACAAAATGCTGCCAAACTACAGCAGTACTAGTATATATATATTTTTTTTCTCGGGACCAACTCTCTTGCGGCTGGACTTGAGCCTTGTCTTTTTCTCCCTCATGAGCGTCAGGTGACGTGAGCGAACGAAACTAATCGAACGTCATCTCCCCACACAGTTAATAGAAACGTTATAGACCAGGGGTGTCAAACATACGGCCCGGGGGCTGGATCCAGCCCTCCAAGACCTTTAATCTGGCCCTCGGCTGATTTTCTACAAAAATATTGTAACTATATTTTCTATTAAAATATTGTTAATTTTCTGCGGTGTTTATCACAACAGCGTCTCTGTACGTGGCTCCTCCCACCAGAGCAGCACAAATGAAGACTTGTCTCTTTCCAAACGCTCTTAAAGGACGATCGTTTTGACTGTTGACCGTGACACCCTCATCAGAAAAATGTCCAACATGAGAAAAGTGGAGCCGAGTGCAGGAATTTTCCAACAAAAATTGACTTATTTCTATTTACATACAAGTTCATGTTAAAACATTGTGTTGAAATTAGATTTTTCTTAAAGTTTCAGGTTGTTCATAATAGGGATGGACATTCGATGAAATTTTCTTAATCGATCGTCGGAAGAATTAACGATCGATTATCGATTAATCATTAATGCTTTTATATTAAAATGATCATCATTATTATTACTATCTGCACTACTAATCTGCATAAATAAATTCAACTTTACGACATATAAACCGTAACGACTCTAGAGCCACATCAGCCCGTTTGACATTATAATGTGTTTAATTCAGTTTTGTTCAAATCTCACAGAAACGAAACTTAAAACCACATCACTAATTTGCATAAACTCAGTGAAGATAAAACTCCAGCTCTTGTGTCGCTGATGTGGTTCAATTTCTGTCGGATTAAAAGACATGACTCAGGTGAATACAGGTCAGTGTGACCAGATTTGTGTTTGTCAAAACCAGGACAGCGTACGGGGGGAGGGGGGCGGGGCCTCGTCATCGACATTGAGCGACTCTCACCTGGAAAAACTTTTTCCCACTGGACACAGAAACATATGTGCTGCTTTATACACTGTGCACATGGACTCACACTTGTCCCCAACGCAACAGAAAGCCTGGAATTTCTTGTACAAATCATCGTTAAATCCACATTTGTGCTTCGGTTCGTTGCAGACTGACCCACTGTTTGTGTCTCGCTCCTTCTGATGCAGAGACACATGTACACACCTGTTTGGTCACACTACACACAGCAACCTACATTCGGTTTGTCGATTAAAATGAACTTAATCGATGAAATTCTTAATGATCAATTATCGATTAATCGATTAATCATGCCCATCCCTAGTTCATAATATTGTAATATTTTGTAAAAGAAAGAATTCATCAATTAAAAAAGATTTCTGTAATAGATTTGTGTTTCTCTGCACAAATATTTGAACTTATTGTTGTTTTTGGGGTTTATATGACATGAGTTTTCTGATCCGGACACTTTGGGATCAAAGTCGGTTGGATACGGCCCCCGGACCAAAATGAGTTTGACACCCCTGATTTAAACACTATTAGTTTTAAATTATAATGCATTAAAGTGAAAATACAACCACACATTCATTTGTGCTGAGCAAACAAATGTACGTATCTTATAGGGGTGTGCAAAAATATTGAATTATCGATATATCGTATCATTTAATGTGATGATACAGTATTGATATCATGGGCTGCTGTATCGATATATCACCAAGAGGATTTTTTTGGTATATTTAACTAAATTATTTTGTTACAGCTACAGTTTTGTTGCTTGTTTAGAGAAAGGAAACTCGTTTATGCGACACATTTGACATTTTCACAGTTTTGATGATTAAAATGTTTGTGTTTCATATGAACTTTGCACAAGAAGTGGTTCAACAAAGACTTTTAGTGTCACAGCCACAATTCAGGCTTTATTTTTTTATTGAACCGTATCGAATCGATTTGAAATATATCGTCTCGAATCAAAAGCCCACTGTATCGAGGTATGTATTGTATCGGGAACTTCTTAATGATACCCAGCCCTAGTATCTTATTTATTTATTTTATGTATTTAATGAAACAGGGACAACGCACAATTTTGACATGAACCTTAACAGGAGAGATGTTTGTACCAGAGCTGATTTCCACCTGTCGTCCGTGAGCAGGTTGATTGATTGATTGTTTTTAACTGACCTTGACGATCATCTTCTGGAGACCTGTAGCGTGTTTTGGGTCGATGGGGGAAACCGGAGCACCCAGAGGAAACCCATCCAGACACGAGGAGAAACACGCAAACTCCACACAGAAAGGCCCGGGTGACCTGGTGATCGAACCCGGAACCTTCTTGCTGTGAGGCGTGAGTGCTAGCGAGTGGCTCAACAAGTGATAATATTATAATATAATATCACTTGCAGCCGGTTGCAGATTTAACCGAAAATAGAGAAAACAATGGAGAAATTCTCTTAAACTGAGACTGAAACTGGACCAGACCAGTCCAGGTCTAAATATACAAGTGCCTAATTATGGCCCGTACCCCTCGACAAAACCTGCTCTTCTTTACGACCTCAAAACCCTCGAGTGAAATGTCAACTGCACTTTGAAAAATATGACACAAAATGGACTTGAATTTTGATTGAGATTTTGATTTGTGTGTCAAACGATCTCCAAACTCGTATAATCGAGGTGAAACAAGTTTATTTTG